AAACAAATCAACTTTTACAAATCACCTTTTACAAATCAATTAAACAATCAAAAAATAAGCAATAATTATTAGAGAAAATAACACTTCTACTATTGAATCAACTTTTGCAGCCATACATCATTTTCACGCAGCTCACTTCTGAGATTAACCTGCATAAACCAAACATTTGCTCAACAACACTTTCTACACATCTAAAACCTACAAACATCAAATTATTGAATTCTAGGTACTTAACCAAACATTTTCAAACCACAAGCCTATAAACATACCAATTGTTTATGGACATTTTTATAACGCGGATGCAGGTAGGCAGCGTCTCGTATATATCGATCTAGCCATATAATGTCGAAACCACAAGCCTACTGCAGCTCTATCTATATCGGTGGGAGGAGATACTTTATACTTCCTGTGATCAAACGGTCCAACGCCAAGCATACGAGAGGACCACAATCCCCTCTGGGTCCTTTCGTTTGTTGTGGTGCGGTCTCGTCTCTGCTAACTGTAATATTGAGCTTCTTTGGCTTCTTGTTTCCAGAACGAGTCCAATAATTTATCGCATCCAAGTATTTAGCCAAATAAAGCTCCATCCCTTAATAATATCTCTTAAATCAGCCAAGATATGTAATTTATCATGCTGTCATATACTATTACCTTAAGGGATGGGATCTGAAGCTCGACGAGAAGCCAATGGTTACGTTCCAAAGCAGGGATAAACACCTGCAATCATAAGTAATAATTCATTCATTTGCGCACTTATTTATGAATACCTTTAAACTCAATCTAAAATAAACACTAACCTTATCGACCTCCCACCATGCAGGATAAAGTTTAGCTTGTCCATTGCCCAACGCAAATGATTCATCTCGTTGATTCTTCAAGTGAACTGCGTTAAAAGCCGTCGGCATTATTGTATAACGTGTATTTCTTTTATTTTCCTTAAGTTTCCTAATTATTAGTAGACGTGACACCCACGCATCGTATGCTGTTTTACAAAAAAATACATATATTAGTGAATTACATTAATTTTTAAACAAATTAATCAAATGAAAATATAAGAAAAATATAAGACTTACCCCTCCATCGAAATAGCCATTGTCTTCAACCCCTAATAATACGCCCCACCAAGACCGATCAAGCAACAAATAGATATCATCATTGAGCTTGCATATGTCAGTGAAAACACCCCTGGCTTCGCTCGTGTAGATAAAAATCAACTGCGGTCTTAGCCCAAAGGGTGTTATCCAGAATTGGTCCGGTAGTTGTTTCCTCTCCTCTTCAGATACCGGTATGGTACTGGCCGGTAACTCATACGAGAGCCAACTTGAATCCATCATGTCCGGCACGTCAGAGGGTTTCTCAAGAATCCTACATATGACGCCATGAATCGGGCTCTTGAATGGTGGGAGGGACCTCTTCAACGATGACATGGCCTCTTGAACGGTGGGAGGGGACTCTCGAGGAATGATAGGGGCCTCTTCAACGATAGGAGTGGACTCTTGAGGGATGATAGGCGAGTCGAGCTTCTTTTTGCGGTGTCTTCGCACTATTGGGGTATACGGAGACTTAATAGCACGTGCACGCCGTCTGATGCGTGAACTCTGTCGTGCAAGAAAACCCGACGTAAAGCATCCACCTTATCGGTCCGCTAAATAAAAATACAAATATCAGTAAATAAACAGACATGATATTTAAACAGTGAAAACAAAGATAAATATATTTCAAACTTTCAACCAAAAGACAAAACAAAGACAAATACTAACTTCACAGTGTTAAAGTAAAAAGTTAGCAGTTTTGGCAGCACCGAATAAATTTACTAAGCAATCTAAGTGAAATGGTTAATTTAAGTGAAATTACGAGTAAATTTATCATCAAGTTAAATATGGAAAATCTTAAACTTACCTCGTTGCGTAGAGTATGAACCTCATTCTGCAACGATACTACCATCTCACGTAGACCGGCAACCTCACCACGTAAAGTAGACACCTCCACACGCCATGCACCATCGTTATCGCGTAGAGTACCGATCTCCTCACGCAAGGCATTGACCTCATCACGTAACTCCCTTGACTCATCCCGTGGAGGTGGAGAACAGGGAGATAGAAGTCGTGGCATCTTTTTCGGTCGCCTATCATGAGGTGATGGTGGAGAAGAGACTCGATGATGTGACGGGATAGGTGATGGCTCTCGTTGTAGAGGTGTATAGTCGGGTCGATCAGGTGATGGCTCTGGGTGAGGTGATGGCTCTCGAAGTGGAGGAAGTGGAGGCTGCTCATCATTCGTGCCATCAAAAAAACGCTGACTAGCTTGCCACCAATCAGTGGCAAGCTCAGCCTCCGTGGGTGTCAGTCTCATTATGGAGTGTTGGCCTCCTAATAATATAAAAACTAAAACAAAGTTAAACGTCTACTATTAATAACTTGTTTATATATGATAGTATTTGTGTTAACTTACATTATTTATTGTCGCATATGGTATTAAGTCTTCCCAATCCAACATACGTTTCCTCTTCCAGGAAATAGCCCTAGGAATATCATCTGAGGATTTTAATGCATATGTCCGCATGCTGGGGAAAGCCTCGAATATCCAAATCTACAAACAATATAATAACAAACATTAGTAATTGTTAAATAATTAATTATAATTTTGAAACATTATATAGAAATTCTTACCTTAAAGGCCCAAACAAAGCCTGACAAAGTGTATTTCGACCCATCGCCCCGCAAACTTTTGCGGTCATCAAAGGCAGACGACAACTTAGTCCAGGTAGCTTTCCATATACGAACCCCACAGAAACAGATTCCATGCATTTAGGTCCTCTACCAATAATATTAGCTCCTGAGGAATAGGTTGTCTGGCCTCTCTACATAGAAAGCCGGCATACAAAAGTAGTAGAAGGCATACTCGGACAACATCGACGTCATTCATCCGAGTAAAACCATCTTTCTTATTAAACAATTTCTTCATGTCGTCGACGTGTAAGTTCGGCTTCTCTATTGACTCATCAGGAAAAACCCTGGATAACCATGATGGGCGGGTGATATGACGAGTGTACCGGCCTACATCATCGTGTCCGAATCGTAGACCAGTGATTAAGCAGAACTCCTTCCGCCCAAAACAAGTATACGCCGGTGGAAAATGAAACCATGTCTCTTCCTCACCACGTTGTATACTGTCGGGTAGATCGCTAGTCATGGTCTGAAGCCACAAATGGGTCAAACTAGCATCTCCACCCGGATGCTGTACTCTCAACCATGGCCCGAAGCAGGTTTCTTCAAACAATTTTCTTTGTGCAGGTGAAAGCTTCGAAGCAATTGTAGTGGCTAGGCTAACTTTATTCCTTAATGTCAATGAAGCCGAAAAAATTTCTACAAAAAATAATAAACATACCAAGTTAGATATACCAAAAATTACACTGTCAAGATATACCAAAAACAAAACAATAAACATAAATAGTAGTTTATTCTTGAAACTAAAATTTGCAACACTGTTTCTGTGTTTTGGTTGAAATGAAAATCGCAACGAGATAATGAGAATCGCAACGCGGAAATGACTATCGCAACGAGAGAATCGCAACGCGAAATGACTATCGCGACCAGACAATCGCAACGCGAAATGAAAATCGCAACCGCGAAATTAAAATCGCAACGCGAAATGAAAATCGCAACGCGAAATGAAAATCGCAATGCGATTTTGGTTTCGCGTTGCGATTTTTATTTCGCGTTGCGATTATCTCGTTGCGATAGTCATTTCCGCGTTGCGATTCTCATTCTCGAAACTATTCTTCTTCTGCATTACTTCAACCAAAAGACAAAGCAAAGACAAATACTAACTTCACATGCTAAACAGTTTAGCAGTATTGGCAGCAATCGAATGAATTTAATAAGAAATCTAAGTGAAATGGTTAATCTATTATTGAAATTACTAGTAAACTTATCATCAATCTCAATATGAAAAACCTAAAATAATGCAAAAATTTCAAAAAAAAAAAAAAAACTAACCCTCGGAGGTTGATTTTCCATTTCTGAATGATTGTGAGGGATTTTGACTGTGAATGGTTTGTGAGAGATTTCGCCGGCGATGGGGACGGAAATCTTCAGAGATGGGGACGGATTTCGCCGTAGAGAGTGAGAGATGGAGATGGGACTGAGTGTTGTGTTTTTGGGTTTGAGGTTATGAGTTGCGATTACTGTGGACGGTTCATTTTCCGATTTATTAAGAAAAAATACGTGTTTGGAATTTGAAAAAAAAAAATACGCGTTAATACGAATGGCGCTAAGTAAATCGCGTTGCGAAAGTCAGTATCGTGTTGCGAAAGTAAGTATCTCGTTGCGATTTTTTATTATCGCATTGCGATAGTCAGTATCGCATTGCGATTTTCCCAATTCGCGTTGCGATTTACTTATTCGCATTGCGAATTTCCCAATTCGCGTTGCGATTTACTTATTCGCATTGCGAATTGGGAAAATCGCAACGATACTGTAGACTATCGCAACGCGATTTTCAACTATCGCATTGCGAAAATGCAACGCGAATTTGCGATAATGGAGATTGCGTTGCGAATTAGCGATCGCATTGCGATTTTGTTGGTCATTTTGGCAAATCCGAAAAAAGTTGGTTAAAATCGTATATTATATGGGATTTTTGGTCACTGAGGTTATTTTCTCTAAAAAAAAAAAAAACCCAATACTAACCACAAATGAATCAGGGAGCAATTTGGGGGCCACATGAAGAGGAGTTATTCTTCTCTCTTTGATTATAAAAAAGCCTCTGTGCTTTTAGTATGGAGGAGGAATCTTTTTTGATCCAAGGGGTTTTGAATGGCTTCATATGGTAGCTAAAGGATAATGAGATTAATCGCCCAACCACCAAATGTTTATGTTCCAACCTTTTCAATTGCATAAACACATCGTTTCCATCCATTAATTACCCATCTGAAGATCTGAAAATCAGTAACTTAGGATTCAAGGCATTTGCATTTGAAACATCTTCTCAAATTGACCATGGTTCACTGCTATTATGGAAGATGCCATCGCCCCTCGGATCCTCTACCGTACTCGGTTCTGTTGTTCTTGGCTCTGGCATTGATGCTTCTTGCCTTGTCCTTTTTAATCAAATTTGAGATCGATATGGAAAGCACCGAGGCCTCTCCTGCTCCCGCTGAAGAAAGCACTGAAGCCATTTCAACTGCAGAGAACAGTGGTGAATATGCTCCAGCTGCAGCAGTGAACTCCGATGATGCCGAAGAAACACCAAAGATTAAGCTTGAGACTGCCCCGACAGATTTTCGCTTTCCAACTACAAACCAAACAAGGGAGTGCTTCGCACGCTATATCGAGTACCATCGTTGTGTTGCGGCAAAAGGAGAATATGCTTTAGAGTGTGATAAGTTTGCCAAGTTCTATCGTGCCCTATGTCCCGGTGAATGGGCATTTTTTCCTCGAACGATCCATAATCCACTTCTCATCATCTTAATCAATTGCATTATGTTTTTAACTTTTAACTTTTCCTTTTAATTTCATACGTTTGCTTTATTTGTTTTATATTTTTATTTTATTTTTTTCCTTTAATTTTTTTCTTATTTTTTTCATTTGATTTATTTTTTATTTTTATTTTTTTCATTGATGATTTAATATTTATTTAATATTTTTTATCTAATATTTTTGACTTTTTAGGGATACTTTCAACCGATCAAAGGTAATTAATCTGAATTGAATCTTTAAGTTTTAATTTAAATTTCAAATTTTCGATATTAAGACAATCGACAAATTAATTGGTACCGAAAGGGCGATTCAAGGGTGCTAATCTTTCCTTGACCGTAACCGGCTCCCGAACCCGACACGTTCTGGTACAACGCAGATCAGGTAAGATGGTGTTCGACCCACCTAAATTCGTTTTAAAATGGTCAGTGGCGACTCCAATTCATTTAATCCAAGTCGAAGCCCAATTCCGGGGCCCAACCGAAAGACGATCCCGACAGCTTGGCGACTCCACTGGTAAGTGAGTTAGGCCGAAGTTAATTTTCGGTTGTCTTTTTTAGCGAAAAACACAAGTTTAAATTTTAATTTATTTATTCGATTCCAATTATTTATCTTTGATTATTTTTCAAATAAATAGTTGTACTGACGTTTTTTAATGATTTCAGATTTTTCAAATTTTCATCTCAGACTCTATACCCGAGCTCTAAACCCTTTTAAGTGGGGGTGAAAGCGACGCCTTCATGGGAATTTATTCTCCGTATGGGCCTAGCAAGTAACCTTCGGGATTCATATACCTTATGTCTTCGTGTGAATTTATTCTCCGTATGGGCATAAGGGAATGTTTCCTCTCGAGTTTAACTTAGTCCACATGAGCTTGTAATGGGCTTAGGACTAAGGGTCTGGCAAGCTCAAGGGGGCACCAGCAAGGAGAACTCAGATACCTTTTTAGAACCTAAATCGGGAGAGTACAGGGAATTAGAGCCCACCCCAAAACCTCATTCTAAACCCTAGGCTGCTTTGTTTCATGCCTTACTTTCTGTTCAAAGCATGTAAACTAGACAAATATGCAGTTAGGATTTGTTTAAAATTAGCATGCGGGATTGAGATCATGTCCGGGTAGGAATTAAAGCAAGTGAGGTAAACATCATGTGGGGTAGGACTTTTATTTTCATGATTATTTTCACCTCACTAACTCTTTTCATTTTTATTTTATTTTATTTTATTTTCATCATTTGCATCATTTAAAAGAGGTGTTGATCCACAAAAAACGTGTTCGTTAAACGTAAATAATTTGTATTATTGGACAAAGGGGTTATAATACGGGAGATGAAAAACTCAGAAGTCCAATTATGATCTGAATGGATCGGGAGTTATACCGTGCACACCAAACGTCAACTTTTTGAGCTGGCAAAGGTTGCAGGGGCAAGACGAGAAAAAAGTTACTGACCCAGAGCGTCTTTTTGAAGACCACGAGAACAAGATGACGAAACCCTAGCTAAGTTGGAGACCATTATTGACGAATTCAAGAAACAAATCGATAAACTTCGGATTGAGGACTCCAATGGCGCTTTCGTTAGGAACAAGCTCGGCAGAGAGTGAAAGTCGGAGATGCATTCATTCGGGATTTTTTGGAGCAAGTAGTTCGTCACTTGCACAGTTTAGCCAGAGAAGCTGGAACAGTTCGACAGGGTATTCAACCGGTGGCAGAAAAATGGAATAACCTGTCAAAAGGTGTTCAGGGGTCTATACCTTTAAAATGTTCTTTATCTCTTAAGACGTAACACTTTGGTCCCCAATAAGGATTATTTATAATAACTAACACATTTTTGGATCAATGCCTCGAACATTTCATGCATTTTTGCATTTTGCATATACATTTCATTTTTTAAGCATTTTCATAAGCATGAAATTTCTTCATAGAGGATTCAATGAAGTGGTCTTAACCGCATGACACCACATGAAAGCAAGATTTTAACAATTAAAGAAAAACTGAAATCAGTACAATGAGAGCCTGATCAGCAGATTGAAGGACTAAGCCTGTCGGGATGATATGAGAAAAGAGTCCCCATATCCTAAGGGCTACGATGTTGAAGCTATGTGCAGTTATCACATAGGAAGCTCTATACATTCCTTTGAGAACTATAAGGCACTAAAGCGCAAGATCCAAAACATGATAGATTCAAGGGCATTGGCAATCGAAGAATGGGGCATTGCATCTACCATTTGCACTGAGAGCATTGTTTTGTTTGAACATATTTTGATCTTTCATATTTGGTTAATCTTTTAAACGACTGAATTTATGCTACTTTCTAAGGTGGAATAATTGAACAAATTTTAATCTTTAGTTCTTCGAATATTAAATGAATTAAATATTCTTTTAATTCTTCAAGAATTATAGATTTGTGACATATGACAAGATTAGACCTTTCTTATCCTGTCTCAAACCCCAAAAATAAAATACATTGATTCTTTACCCAAAATAATTCATGGTCATTACCAAAAGACCAGATTTTGACATCACCACCCTTTGAAACTTTTGAACCTTTCTTTGAGTCAATAAAGTCACACCATTGTCTTTTTAAGACTTAAAATTGACTTTTTACCACTAAAACCTAAGGCATTGAGTTGTTCATTTGAACATGAGCATTCTTCTAAGACACAACTTGGAGTATCTCGCAGGGAGCCTGAATATTGAGACATGTTGGGAACAAGAAGTAGAAAGAAGAATGCATTCAAAATAATTCTATCTTGCATTAATTACACTATTTTCACGTGAATAAAATTAATCCTGAAAATCTACCCCCCTGGGGATACCTCTTCTGCGAAGACTAATGTAACACCCCCAACCCGTACCCGACCCGAATAAGAGTCTGAGGTGTCACATTGACTTTTCAAACTTTGACTCTTGAGAAAATTCAAAGAAAATTTAAACTTTCATTAAAATAAAAGCGGTTTATTTAATAAAGCGACCAAAATAACCAAAATCGATCAGAGCATATTCAACTCAATCAATTAGTACATGCCAACTATATTCAAAATAACCAAACACATTTAAATTATCTAATTTCTTATCTGAATTTTTGTAAGGGAGATGCTGACCTGTCTTGCTCTTCTTCGCTTCTCTTCTCGATTATATACCTACGTGTGGAACAATCACACGCTAAGTCTATGACTTAGTGAGGCATAATCAAACTGACTATATCATATCATAACTAATTCCTATTATGCACATTTCATGTAATCATGATAAACCATAAAATGCATCCAAACATAAATAAATAAATAAATATATATATATATATATATCATATACATACATATTGTTTCACAAAGAAATACCCATATCATCGTATAATTCTGGTAACATATTTCCTAACACAAAACATATAAAGCGTATGTAGTAAATTTCTCATTATCTCTTTAATAGTCTTATTTTCTTCTTTATCTTTTAGTCATATGTTCTTGTACCTATTCTTCTTAACCAAGCTAAATACACATCACCATCATATCACATATATCATTTCACCATAAAGATTACAAACAAAATACATAATATCATACAAGGTTCTTTTATATCATCTTCTTTATTAGCCCATATACACATGTGAGAACTATAGATATGTGAGTCTATAGAGGTTGTGCACTAATGATGTCACCACAGCTCGTATAAATGCACCGAAGTGCCAAGTAGAATTGCACCTAAGTGCCACGTAGAAATGCACCGAAGTGCCATAAAATATGTCCCTAAAGACCACGTAAAAAATTTCGTAAGAATCATATACATATACAAAGGATCAAGTATGTGTCTCAAAAGACATCACACATGTTCCAAGAAATACATATATGTCCCGAAGGACTGTGTAGACCCTCGACTCTTGGCATGCCAACTATACCCCTAGCTCTCATGAGACATATCATGGGCATTATCTTTTATATCCTTTTTCATATTCATATAAACTCGTAGCTTCATTCACATATACATTTAATCACGTAGTTCATGTAAATTCTCATATCATTTCGTATTCATGTATCACATGGCATATAACACTTCTCTTGTGTTCCTATAAACATGTCATATCATATGATTTATATCTTTTCATATAATTTATGCTTTAATCTTTTATATTCACCTGATTCAATATCATTTAACTTATTTTACTTTCTCATATCACATATACTTTCTCTTTCATATATCTAATGTCTTGTATCATATCTTGTAATCGTGTAAACATGTCTCTTTAATGTAATTTACATAGTAATGCCCTATATTTATATCATATAATATGACTTATACTTGATTATCTTATGCTCACTCGTTCATTTCATTCCTTATGTCTCTATCATATAATTTATTTCATGTTCTTCCATTATTACATTTTATTGTTTTACACAAATCTTATAGAATATACAAAGCATATCAATATCTTTAGTTATGCATACATACCATTAATGTAAAATATATAATCACATATAACACATATAATAATAACAACCACATAATCTCGTTCATGACTTCATGCATATTATTCTAGGAAATAGACTCATCGCAAGTCCTATTTCCATTAAATAATACATGTCACTATTATGCACTCACCTGGCCTCACTAGTCAATTTCAATCTCTTATCTTTCCCCTTGATCGATCTTACTTGTCAATGATTCCGAAACTTGTTTAGGCTCTAAATCTACATAATTATACATAGATACATATTAGTATCCAATTAATATGCTCTAATCTATCATTTCTTAGACCAAAAGAAAGGTTTATTTATATTTCCCCTTGAAGTGCATCGATGCATTCTACAGTGCATCGATGCATTCTTTAACATGTGCATCGATGCACTACCTATGCATCGATACACAAATTACCTTCAATGTTTTCATCTTAAAGGGATGCATCGATGCACTCCTTATGCATCGATGCACCAATTGCATTTTACTTCATATATCATCCCCTTTCTTATTCTTAACTTACATACTCATATTCAAACTCATTTATATTCATTAATCAACTCTTTAACATCAAAATCATATTCTCCACATGTAATTCAAGAATTACACTGAATTTTCAACATGTTCCAAATCCACTTCTAACACTTCATATTCCTTAATTTAACCATTGACAAGTCAAATTCAACTTCAAAATCTATTTACTCATTTTTTTCAATAATTCTCTTAAAAACTCTTCATATTTAATCTTCCCTAACTCATCCATTTTGAAGTTTCAACATACTTTAATCTCTAAATAATCTTTCTTAGCACCCCAAGAATCAAAACTAAGCTTAAAACTCAAGAATTAACCAACTAAAATTAAACTTACCTTTTCCATGGAGCTTACGGGAAGAGAAGAGGAAGGAGATAACCCAAGCTACAGACTTTTCTTTTATTCTCACTCTTTCCACGTGTTTTATAACCTTAAAAGAAAGATAAAAATCTTTCTGGTCAAATGACCATTTTACCATTTATTTCCTTTAATAATTACTAAATAACCTTCATCATATTTCTAATAAATCATTAAACTATTCAATTATACTACTTTAATCACCAATTTCTGAAACTTTATAATTTGGTCACTAACCCGGTATTGAGGATGTTACAAATCTCCCATCCTTTAAAGAAAATTCGTCCTCAAAATTTCACTGAACAAATCAATAAGAACATATCTTATATTGTTCTCATGTTACCTCCTTTACTTAATCTTTCTTGTCATCATTAAAAAACTTACTTTTTAATCCTTTGGCTTTTCAATTACATTTTTCCTTTATACATTCGTATCATGTCACTTATCACATAAACAGTAACATCCATTTCCATTACTCCATATCATAAATCCATCTATTTCTTCATTAATCTCTAATTATCTTATCACTATACCAAACTTTTATTCCATCCTCATTTGACCAAAACACTACTTTAAATCTTCTTTAATTGTGATTAAACACATAATTTACATAATCAAATAATATTTTCACATTACTTTGCACACTTTTCGTATTTCTATATCGAACTTATCGTCTACACTTCCATATAACGTTTATCATACTTAACCCTTTAATTTCTTTATCCTTTTACTCCTTCACAATTCAAAATATTCTTGTAACATAGAGCATATCTTTTATTCAGTCTTTCCTACATTTTCATATCACTTAGATTTATCCCTAATTACCGATCTTCATCACATTTTCATAACTTTGATGATCCGCTTTACTTATATAGAACCTCATTCTTTACCATCTCTTGTACTTGTATTTCCTTCCTCAAGGCTCCATTTTTAAACATGCAAATACTTATTTCCTTGCCTACATCATATCTATATGATCATAACCATATCCAAATCAACATCATACTTGATTAACTAAACTTTATATTTTCTTCAAATCTTATACCTTTATTACCTTTACTCTGACAACTAGTCAATAACATCTGTTCAATCTAGGGCACAAGCCCTAGTCAACCAATCATATACATTCTTTCCAATCGAAATTATCTCAAAATTC